ATTCTTAGAGCTGGACTTTGGGCGTTCAAGCAGAATTCTTAGAGCTGGACTCTGGGCGGGTTGGACGGGGATTGGACTGCTTGTTTGAAAGCTAGGTACGTCAGTGCCCTCCTTGAGCCTATTCAACCAGCCCTTTGTCAGGAGCATCACGTCTCAGCAATTCCCAGGGATTTCCTAGCCTAACAATTGTGAGAGGCCCCTGGCGTCTTTATTGACGTCACCCTTTCAGCCTTCTGTTCAGGGGCTTGGGGCAAGCGTCAATGCAGTGACTCTCTGATAGGAATAGAGATGTGAAGTAAACCAAAGGACAAGGAATCATGGCGAGTTTGACCCTCTCCCTGCTTGCAGGTGCGATCTGCTCTGACCCTCATTTCAGGGGGGCGTACAACACCGAGTATGACTTCCACGGAGTTCCCAGTAAGCTGTGAAACCTGAGTCTTTCTTTTTTTACGCTGTTGATCTGGGCTATGATTGAGCAAGCTGTCCAATGGCACTTCCCAGGATCTTGTAAAAGTCTGGAAGTATCCTGATTGATGTGCAGTTCGTCAGGTGTGGCAAAATTGCTACTAAGGTCTTGCAGACTGAGAAGTTCCGGCGTGAATGTGAATGTGGATGTGAATGCAAATGTGAATGTGAATGTGAATGCGAGTGTGAATGTGGACGTGAATGTGAATGCATGAATGGCAAACGGATTCCCCCCCTCAGCTCAGCAAACCCATTTCTCTATCTGTGCAGACCGCGACTTCACTCTGATCTCCTACCAGGATTTGAATGTGAATGCGCACTTCATCGGGCAGGATGGCAAGGCGACTGGGTTTGATGGCACGTGGATGTCCGAGATTGGCATTCTCTGGAACGGCGCTGACGGACGCGTCCAAAACCTAACTGCCAGTGTCCACCAGGTTAGTCCTTAACCCCAAAATTAAGTGCGCAGGCTGTTGATAACTAAGTGTGGCCACTTTGCTGCTGCTCGGACGTCCATCTTCGAAGGAACAGTAAACAGATCGGTCTGACACAGGTCTCAAACGGTTTTTGAAGCGATTCGTGGAGCTTTGCTCAGTCTGACATTCCCCTCCAAACAATCTTGCTACTCTTAGAAACATTCAGGGGGCGCTTTGACAGAATTCGGAGAAGGCTGCGTTCTTTCTGTCCCCTGGTTGTGACGTGATTGATTCAGCGGATCTAATTCAGATCGCTTGAAACACAAAAACTTCGCAAAGAAACCAGATGTCCTAGAGTCTCGGCTAACTGAACAATATCGTCCTTTACAGGGCCACATTCACGGGGAGGAGAACCCTTTCACCTTCACGGTCAACGGCGAACAACTCTCGGGCGCCTCGTACGAAAGCGCTGACGTCAGCATCGCGCGCGTCCTGGGCGGCAAGGCTTTCGTCATCAGCGTCCCTGGCCACGTCAGCATGCACCTGGCAGCGGAGGACCACCTGAACCCCGTCGGAAACCACATCGACATGGCGGTTAAAAAGCTGAATGTCACAGGTACGTGCCCTTTTTCAGAGCCCTCCCTGAAGCGCGATGAATTTATTTCTCTGGTGCTTCAAGGAAGAGAACGTTGGGTCCGATCACCTGGGCTGTTTATACAGTCTTGGACTGCAGTTAACGCTTCGCTAGAAACTCTCAACTGCAAGTCCTATGTGGCTGGACACTACTCGATCGACATAAGCAAGCTCGCTCAAGGCAGCCCACATGACTTTCTAAACACTTTGTGCTCTCTAAGGGCAACGCAGACAGACGTCCCTTGATCAAGACCCAAAAGATCACTACCAATACTCTGTGCCCACTATCGACGACAGGGAAGCTTTTTTGGCAGTCATTCTTTCTGCGCTCTTCAATGGACTTCCTGAAGATCCTCAGAAGTTATTTCTTTTCTGTCGAGTCTCGTCTCGTGGTCTCTCCGAGCGGAACCTCGATTGCGAACTGGGAGTGGCAGGGGTGCGACAAGCCCTTTCTCGTAATTGCCAAAAATAACCCGTTCATCAGACGTCAGCTGGAATCGCCTTCACCTAGCAATGTCTGTGAAATCAAGTGACTTTCCATGTCGGTCTTTGCAGCTCAGAGGATGATCTTTGCATTAATTACCCTGCGCTTGAGCAGATCCACCGTAAACCTCGGGCCGTTAAGCACAGCCTTCGCTTCAACCTGGCCTCCTTCTGCCAAACAAATCACCGCTGAGGGTTTCGTAGCCAAGCTAGCTCACAGGAGATTTTGTCCGCTAACCAGGCTAGTTACGAGACTTGAGGCTTCGGTTATTGGACAAGTAACCGGTACTTGACCTTTCTACAGAGCTGGTTACCGCCCGAGTCCGGATATTGGACAATCAACCACTTTCAGACCAGCTCATAACCATCCGTGGTTAAGGGCAAAAAGTTCGTGTGTAGGCGAGTTTCCAAGAGCTAACCGACTGCCTCCCCCTCTGACCCTGCAGGCTTCGTGCACGGCGTCCTTGGCCAGACCTTCGCTGCCGCCCGTGCGGCCGCGCTGCGCGACGCGGCCGCGGCGGTGGGCACTTCCGCGCGCTTCGACGCGAGCGACATCGTCGAAGGCGGCGACATGGACTACGTGACGTCCGGCTTGCTGTCGCCGGACGCGCACTTCAACCGTTTCCGTACGTCCGCGCGCGCGGGGCCCGACGCGACCGCCAAGAGCGCGGTGCTGAGCTTTGAGAGCCGCAAGCTGCTTTCTGTGGATTTGGATATTTTGGATAAGGAGGAGTTGAACGTCGATGTGAGGGCGGAGTTTGGAGAAGAGTCGGGCGGCGTGCGCGTGCTTGTGACACATGACTAGGAAAAAAGGCGGGTCGACCAAACAGAACCGAACAGATTCTCAGAACTGAATGAGCAGTTGTGAAAAAGGAGGCCTTGAAAGTGAGGCAAGAGACACGAATAGAAGATTGGTGTGTACTGATTACTAGGAGGCGGGTCCGAAATGGACACCGATAGCAATTGCATGTGTTGCGTGAGAATCTTAGCTTTGTTTAATTTCAGGAGCTAGTGGATTGAGTTTATAACCGGCAAACTTCCAACGGTATCCGAAACAGACCTTTCAATGTAAAGTAGTGTGTTGTGTTTGACATTTAATGAAGTGGAACACGGTAGGTCGGATTCTCATGTAAGATTTACAGGCACACTTCGAAGGTACGTCCGATTGAACGTGCCTTAGATAGTGAGCACACGCATCAAGTCTACAGTGTTTACAGATTTCGCTGTAAGCATACAGACTTGAAAGCATCCGGCCGCAGTGAGTCGCAACTTAGAAGATTGGAGAGGCGTGGTTGACAAGGACACTTATATGTGCAATGCAGTAGGGGAACTGTATGAATTTCATGCTTTTCAACCTGCGGTGTGTCCTGGGTGGCTAAGGTGCTTCGGAGGTTCCATCCGTTGGGCCTGTTTCATTAGACACTCTGTAAATGCTAAGTGTCAAAAAAATGAAGCAAGATCCAGAAGAGACTTCATACTTAGCAAGCAGGCCTGCATGCGCTGCATCTTTTACCCTTGTCTTTGTTAATCTGATGTGCATGATCAAATGTCGAGAAGAAACAAACCTACACTTGACTTGGCACGTGCGTCTAGAAACAATACAATCGATGGCGCGTATACTTCTATCATTTTGACGTTGATGATCATTCTACAGAACTTGCCCAATTAAAACATACTTCAGTCGGCACAATGCTTTCGGTCCATGATCAGCTTTGCGGTACGTATCGATCTGGAGGCGTTGGAGAGACTGCATGGACTGCCTTCTCTTGTTGCATGCGGTCTCGAGCATCTTTGGTCGCGCGCCGTCCCTTATAATTCATTCGGATCAGAACCTTAAGAGTGCAGTGGATGCACAGGTTGAGGCCTTTCCAACGAAAGACTTCAGCGAATACATTCGCGTTAAGGTACGTGCTTGAGTCCGGCTCAGTCCTGCGGGTTTGCATATGATCATGTAGCTGTGGCGCGTGAGAATATACTAACAACCTGCCCCAAAGAACTCAGATTCTTTCGAAGCTCAAAAAGTCACGTCAACATCGTGGCTCTCCAAGTTTTCACTTGGCCTGGCATGACGTGCTCCTCTTTAGTGCTGTGATCGATGTAGAGCCTCAAGGCCCTAGCATGTCCCTTACCGCTTAGTGTCTTTAATTGCAAGTTGGCATGTATGTGCAAGGAATGATCGAAAGCGAACCTTGCATTTTCGCGGATATCGATGACAAGGATGCAACAATCTGCACATGATGCCAGGGTCGGATCGGACACTGACAGTCACCGTCTGAGGCTGTGCCAGGACCAAAACACAAGGAGTCGGAGTACACCAAGTGACTAAATCCTTGCCAGAGCTTGAAAGACTGTTAATGCGCGCCGAGACCGTGACCTGCTACCGCAACGAATTGTTCCGAAGTCCTTCATATGTTACACTACTGTACACATAGTTTCCTAAGACTGTGTACAAATCGTGGCGCACCTCACGCCTCATCAATGAATTGCGACCAGACTCGTAATGAAGCGGTCTCAACACCCCTATCGCCCTGCAACTTCAACATCAAAAAATGTGGCTTGCAAAGGCGCCAAGAGTTTTCCTAATCTCCTCATATTGGACGATGCCATCTTGGGAGTCGACAAAGAACGATCTGCCCCAAACCGAAGCCATCGGCTCACAACAATCGAGTAACTTGAAGCCGACTCGTCAGGAGTCTTTACTTGATGACATGCTGATGCCCACGGTCTTGCGGCGCTATAGACGCCCGTCTTCAAGCAGCCAAGAAGCCAAACACGAAGTCGGAGAGGGACGTCCCCAGCACCCCTTTGACAGAATCAGTGACTAATCGTGGCAGCGGCCTCCGTTTTTAGAAACGGCTCTGTGCTCGGGGACCGACACCGCCCGGCGGCCGCCGACGAGTCCGACGATTGCGGTGTCAATTTGGGGCTCGCTTGCCCGGTGCCCTCCTCCCGGGTCGACACGGTGGGCCCGTTTTCTAAGCCAGTCACGGCTCGGGGCGCGAAGCTCACGCCCGGGAAAGCACTCCCCGGGCTCGAATCGAGCTCCGTTTTGATTATAAATGGGTTTACAATCGGGGCGCCATTCCCCGGGCTAGAGCGGAACTCCGGCTTGGGAACGGTTTGAGTTATTTGGTTCGCTTTTCTACCCGGTTGATCCACCTTTCCCCCTTGACTACGGGGAGAACCAAGACCGACCCGGCGCCCCGGCTCGCCCCAGACGTTTTCTCGATCCTCGGTGGGATATACTTTGCTTGCTCCAGTATCAATATCCAACGCTCCCCCGTCGCTTCGTGCGCTCGCCAAACCCTCGTCTTGTGTCCGCCCTCCAAAGCCGTCAGCTGTTTTCCCCTCGAAAAGTCCCCGGTTGTTTGAGACCCCAGGCCGTTCCCCCATGTCAGTCAATTTAGACTCCGGTGCCTCATAATCTTCCCCGTTGCCTCCGCTCTCTGTCTTTACCCTTCTCAACCCCCCTCCCGTTCCGCCGTTCCGCTCCTCCGTTCCGGGCACCTCTCGCCTCGCCCGTTTCCCCAATCCTCTCCCGCGGCTGTCCCCCTCCTCCTCTTCCCCCCCTCGGGTCCGCTTCTCCCCTCTGCTCGTCTGAATTTCCGCTCCGGTTCCGTCCAGCTCCGTCCGTTCCGCCTCGCTCGCAGTCTGGTCAGTAGTCTCCGTCTGATTTGTCCAGTCCGTTCCGGTCCCCTCGCTTCCGGTCCATTCCGTTCGTTCCGGCCCGTCTGCCCGGCGCTTCAGTTTCGCAACCCGGAGATGGCGCCTCACGGCGGCCTCGACGGTCGAGCGGCCGTACGCGGCAACAGCTTCCGCCAATTCGGCGGCCTGCAAATGGGAAGAATCAAACGGTCAAGAACAATCGCACAGCAGATTGCCGGGAGGGGATTCGAACAATGTGAGATTCCCCCGAAAGAAACGTGCGCAGTTGTGGATCTCCGCTGCCCGTCGGAACGGCCTGCAAATCTGACCCAGATCTGCGAGCTTAACATCAGCAAGCAGCAGAAAGAGTTTCCTTCCCGCCCACCGTCAAAACTCCCGCAGGCGAAAATGGGCACCCGTTGTTTCTGGAGGGAGTGCCTAATCGAGGCATGTCTGCCTGTTGCTGACAACCAGATCTTGTGCGGAATCACAATTTGCCCCCCGCGGGTATCAACAGAATTCTAGGAGGGACTGTTGCAATGACCCGTTCTCAGAACGTGAGACTGTCAATTTGCAGTGGACTTTTATGTGCAGAAAGTGACGACCGAGCGTTGCACATAACGATTGCTGAAGATTGCACAAAATCTGAGAACGGACAACAAGGTCGAAACAAGGGCCACCTCGAACGAGCCTGGAAGATTTGCGCCTCTCAACCGACGACCCTTATAGTCGAAATAACGGAAAGACTGCAGAAGGCTCAACAAAGTGGGTAGTTCAATACTAGCGTCTTAATAAAAATATCTTCACAAGTCGGCTTGAAGACTTCTCTTGTTCCATGTACGCTCCTGAGTCACACAAACAGGAACTCACAAAACAGATCATCAACCGAGCAGAACAGTGAGGGCAGTTTTTCTCCTCACCATTCGATCCAGGTTCACATCCACGGTCCCTGCTTCGCCTTTAGGCGACGGTTCCCCTAGCCCCTCCCTCGCCGCATCAACCGCGGCGTTCACCGATTGAGTCCTCGGAGACCCATCTCTCTCGGGTCTCTCGTTCAGCCTATCAAACCACCGCCGTTGCGGGAAGCCGTCACTTAATCCGTCCCCCCCTTTTCGGACGATCTCCTCCTTCCTGTTACTTTTTACAATCTTAGACAGAGGCACCGCACGGTCCCCTTCGGCGTCCGCGTTCTGTGGGGGCGAGAGCTGGGCGTTTTGGGGGGTTAAAAGTTGGGAGTCTGAAGGGACTTCGCCGTCGTTTTGGAGACCCCCCTCGGAGAAGCGGCTGCGCGAGCGGCGGTGGGTATTTACACCAGGGAGAGGAGAAAGAGAGGCGCTTCTGTCGTGCTGCTCGGAGGGCGGTGGGAATAGGCTCGGGCTGGAGACTCGGCCAGAAGGGACCTGTACAGAAAGGCAGATTAAGCTTTACACAAAAGCAGGTTAAGCTTTCCAGAAATGCAGGGTAAGCTTTACAGAAAGGCAGGTTAAGCGTTAAAAGAAACGGAGAGGTGAGATGAACATTCGGAGGAATCGCGGAGGAGCTGATCGTAACGGCTCTTCCTTAATTTGACTTTCTTGCTTATCTTCCAATGTTCCTAATCTTCTGCCATTTCTCTTCACAAAGTCGATTCTTGAAAGATCTCGTCAGACTTTCCACAGCACAACAGCAGATTTCAACAAGCAGCTGGGAGCAAAGCCCTCGGTACTCATCAGCTCTGCTTACAACACAGCGAAGATAGGACAATCCTATGACTAGGAGGAAGGACGAACCCAAAAGTTAACAACCACATAACAACCTAACCCCTCACCACTCCATCCGGAGACTCCGCTTTCCATTCCCTCTCCTCTTCGCCCACTCTCCGGATCTCAACTCTCCCGTGGCCCCCCTCGGTGACGCTCTCGTTCCTTCGATCGGGCCGCTGCTGAGTCCAAGATGCAGTCACGCCGCCTTCGCCTCCCCCCAAAGCCTGGTCTCTTGGAGATGCCGCAAACGGTTGCTGGTTCAACGGAGATGGCGAGGGCGCTTTTCCCGAGACGTCTTGAGAGCTTCTGGGCGGTAATGGTTGCGCCGAGGAACGACGGTGCGGTAACGGGTGGACTTCGACCGGGCTTTCTGGGTTGAAAAGGTCCTTGAGGAGCGACTCGCTGCTGCCGCCGAGGGAGGGGTTCGAGGGGGAGGGGAGGCCGCTCGCACCTGGTGTGATTGACGTGCGAAACGTCAGCCATAAGATCACATCAACAAGTGGGATTGGCAATGCAAACTGGATTGCCTGCCTGCCAATCAGAAGGAAGAAAAGGGCAAAGAAGGGCGACGCTGGTGACCTTTGAGCGGGTGCAATTGGCTCTGCCAACACTGGGTGTGCATAGGAAGCCAGACAAAATCTGGTTTGGAATCAGAAGTGACAATACTTTTGCAAAGCGGAAGTGCCAAAGCCTGCCCCTACATTGATTACTGATGAGGGGAGCAGCCTGAACGGTCTAAACACGGGCTTCGTAGGTCTTTGAGGCTGTGCAATGTGGAGAAACCCAACACGGTGTCAATCTCCAAAAGCCGAGCTTGATCAGATTGTAACCCTGAATGATCCCTCGAGAAAAAGATGTAGAACGGCAGAACCAAAGAGGTATCAAGCGACCCAAAACAATTCCAAGTAAGACTGAATCCCCACGAGGACATCAATCAATGCGGATCCAACAAGCGGTGATGGTGGCAAGCGGAAGCTTGGCCAAGCAGGGCAAGGACAAACCCGTTCAAGGACGAATCAATCTCCTTTCTTGACTTGAGATTCGTCATCTTTCCCTTCTTCAAACTCCACCCTCGCGACTTTGAAGACAGAGCTTCCAGAATGAAGAGCTTATAGCCCACCTAACGAGGACCGCCCCCCGACGAGCATACTCCCGCTGGACGGCCCGGACCCCCCCGCCGAGTCCGCCTGCTGTCCCGCCGACCCGACCCTAATTCCGGACGCCCCCTTCTTCTCCGACCCCCCCGAACTGCTGCCCGCCCTATCCGTTCCACCCCCCCGGAGCAAATCGAGCGGAACGCTTTTCGTCGCGGCGCTTCCGCTCCCCTCCACGGGCCCTGGTCTCGTGACACGTGTCTCCTGAAAGCTGGGGTAGGAAAACGGCCGCATGGCGTCAGGGGATGGCGCCGCGAACTCGGAACCAAAGCCGCGGCGGCCCGACTCGCCCCCCACCCCACGAGACCGCTCGCCGCCACCTGGCGCATGCGCGTCGGCTTTCGAGCCTCTGAACCCTGCGTCAAACGGAAAGCGCGCGTCGGTTGCGCGACCGGGGGGGTGCTCCCACCCCCCCGGCATGGTGGGCTTCGAGAGCGCCTCCGGGGAGGTTTGCAACGGGCTGTGACGTTGACCCTCCTCCGGACGCTCTTGGGGGGGGGCATCGTACCTCCCCCGGGAAAAACTCGAGCAACTACCGTCCCCAGAAACTTGTCTTTCGTGGGCAGAGGGCACCGCCCTAGGCTCTCTGAAAACCCCCAGTTTCCAAGGCCCCCCCGTGCTAAACCCTTCCGGACGAAATCCTAACCCGCCGACACCATCTAACCTTGCTCGCATTGACTTTTGACCCAGCCCCTGTAAACCAAAGCCCCCGCTCAGTGCCGGCCTCATGCCCTCGGAATTTGCACCCCCAGTGCTCCTTCCCCCGGCTTGGAGGCTCCCCGAACTTAACGAGGGTTTGTTTAACCCCTTCGCCGCTTCCTGCGGGCTCGTGGAAGAACCCCCCCGAGACGAATCCGGAGACCGCCTGCCGAAAAAGCCCTGTCCGGGGGGGAACCCAAACTGCATTGGAGGGGCCCCCCACTTGCCAAAGTCCTCGAACGGCCGTGGGTGGGGGGGTGGGCGGGTGCCAAACCGGTCTGGATTACGTGACCGGGTTAGCGACGGGTTGCCCTGGAGGGCTGCCACGAACGGATTTATCCGGTTGGGGTTAGGGTCAGGATTAGTGGAGGGTTGAGGCTTTGAAAGGAAGGGGTTAGGAAAGGCCGGAAAACCCTCTCCTTTTGGGCTCCAGTTGAACGGGTCAGGGCCCTCGTGGGCTCCGCTTGGATGCGAAGGGGGAAGCTTAAAGGGTCCCTGCCGCACAGTGGGGGACCTAGGTACTCGGAATGTTTCTTTAGGGGTCTCGCTCCGAGGCCCTGTGGAAGCTTGCGGTCCAGGAAACGGACGGCTCTGAAACGGCCCCCCTCCTCCAAACCCAGGGTGAAAGACGGGCCGCTCTAACCCCTCAAACCCTAACCCTTGACCCCCCGGAAACCTCTGCTCCTCCAAAGGGGGTCCCCCGAAGCCCCTCCTGAAGCCCCCCGCTTCCGTCGGGCTGCTCTGGCTAAAGGGCGGCGGACCAAGTCGGAAAGGGTTGCCAGGGGGCCGTTGCGGAAGCCCGCTTAACCCGTTTTCTAAACCTGGGGGGCGATCAACCTCACTCCTCCTGCGGTCTTCTCGTCTCCGTGCATTGCTGACGTCATCAGGCTGCCTCCTCCCCTCGTCCTCGTCGTTCAAGGGACGAGAGTCGGGCCCTGGCCCAGAGGGGCCCAGGATCCGTCCTACGGTAGGGGGTTCCGCACATGGGTTTGGCGGTGGCCCCCCTCGACCGCCTAACCCCAATCGAACGGCCCAAGGAGAGAGCGCCGGGGCGGAGGTTCGGGGCGGGGTTTCCATCAACGCGTGACCACCTGAGAAGCAAGAGTTTGAAGGTTAGTCCCACGGTGGAGCACAGTTGCAGAAGGGTCTTTTTCCTGTAAAGTTTCGTCGCCTGTGAGCGCAGAATCGGAATACCGGCCACGTCGATACAGGTGGCAGAGATTACTGATTGGTGCTCAGTTGTACGACCTTCTGCGATTCGTCAATGGAATCGAGAGACCCCCCAGATTTGAGTGTGGTCTGACACATTGCAACCGCTTTGATGTGTGCTGTACAAAAGCGATGAGAGGCGTTTGAAGAAGCAGCTCTCGATACTTTCGAACTCCGAGGCAGTGTCTAGTTCAGGAGGTTTGTCATGCAATACAGTCAGACAGCATGCTTCCTGACAAGATTTGCCACCGCCAATTCCTCTGCTTGTTGGGCAGGCCGACCTCGGATGATTGCAATGACAGTCACAGCTTTGAGAGCAGTCCAAGCGAGCTTGGCAACGTAAGCGCGCGTCAAAGACGAACGAGTGCATGTCACGGATGGCCAAGGATCTCAAGCACGCACTGCCAAAACTCAGTGCTCCATCTGACCAAGACTGAGAGCAGATGCGCGCCAATCTCCAGCCAATCTTGACACCAACAGAAGACACGTCAAGGTCAAACGCAGCAAAGCAGACACTCTCACCCGCTTCCACGACATCCTGAACCTCCGTTTCGGGGGCTTGGTTGTCTCCCGGAATGACCAAGGGGGGGGGCATCCTGAACGACGGCAGAAAACTGAGCCCCCCATTGGGCCTCAACCCTTTCACCCCCCGCCTTCGCGTCCCTGCTGATCCCTCTCCTTCCCCGGCGGAAGATCTCCTCCCAGATCCCCCGTTCGAAGCCGCGGTGCCCCCCTCTGATGGGGGATTCATTTGCCCCCCTGCTTCTGCTCTACTGCCTGGCTCCACCCCCCCTCCAGCCAAATCGTCATCTCCACCATGACCAGCCGGCCTCCCCTCAGCACTCCCCTCGACAGCATTCGTTTTCCCCACCCCCCCCTCCTTCCCAGGAAATCTCTGACCCTGGTTTCCGGCATCTTTTTGCCCCTGGCCGATACCCAATCGTTCAACCCAAGAACCCATTCCTCTCCTCGCGCCCCCGCGGCTGCCCCCGCTGCCTTCGAAACTCTTTCCCTCCCCCTCCGGCACATCCGTAGACTTTCCCCCCAAACCGTTCGGCTGTCCTTCTGTTCGCCACCCCCCCGCATCCTTACACAAAGAGCCGAAACTGCCAAACCCCCTCGGCTGGTGAGCCCTATCCTCGTGCATTCCGTCTCGGCCCTCTTCATTTTCACCCGCATCGCCCGCCCTGCCTCTCGTTTCCCCTCCCTCCACTTGAAACCCGTTGCCCCGCCTTGCGTTGAACCCATTCTCGACAACCCTTTGCTCGCGCCTGCCCCCCCCTCCGTCGACCGTCTCAGGCGTCCCTGCTTCCGCAAACTGCTTCAGGGGGGCACCAACGCTAGGGCTCGGCAGCCCCACCTCCGTGCTCGGCCGGCTGCCCGTCCGACCCCCCCCCCCGGAGGCGCCCGTCCCGTTGCTCGCCTTAAAAGCATGGCTCCCGCTCTCCGACTTGCTCATCCACTTCCGAACCGCCGCGGCTTCCTGCTGCTCCCGAAGCGCTTCCGCCAGACCGTACCGCCGGGCGGCGAGGCTGGGCCCGTAACCCCCGCCCCTGCTCCTCTGCTGCGACGCCGCCGGTTTCGGGTTGGGGTTAGGATTAGGGTTAGGATTACCGTCCGCGGTCGACGGCCCTTCCACCGACCGGCTCGCAGTGTCGGTGCTTGTCCGCACCCCCCCTAGAAAAACGGGGCCCCCGGTCGAAGGGCCGCTCCCCCGTGCCTGATTCGTGGCGTTTGGCAGCGGCGGGGGCGGCGTTGGGAGGGGCCCGGACGACGGCGTCTCGGGCTCGTCATTTGCTTCTTCCTCTTCCTTCCGCTGACGGGGGCTCTCAGCCCCCTCGTGCGCGCTTCCCTCGTCTTCCGGCCGCTCGTCAGGCAACTGCCTCGCACCTGGAAACTGCGGGACCCCCCCCCTCGGACCGAACTCCCTCAAGGCCCCAAATAGCGGCACCCCAGGGGGGACCCTCTCCAGGTTCGCCGCACCCCCTCGAGGTGTCTCCTGCGCATTCGCCAACCGCGTCCCACTCGAGGGGGTCTCAGCACCCCCTGCCGGCACCCCCCCGCCGCCTGGCCCTGCCGGCAACCCCCGCAATCGCTGCACCCAGACGCTCAATCCGAGAAGCTTTTCGCCACCCCCTCGCGCACGATCCGTCGGAACGGGGGGCGCGCCGGGATGCGGTTGGCCGACCTCTGAGTTGGCGCTAATGGTATCGAGCCCCCCCATTACAACGGACGCAGGCTGACCAGGGACGCGCCCCTCCCTCTGCGCCCCGTAGGCTGGGTAGTGAGCCATTCTCCCCTCTTTGGGGGGGTGGCTTTTTACCAGGCCATGGCGTTGCGAGTGCAAACCCTTAGGGCAGGCCCCGCAGACAAAGCACAGGCGATGCGCGTCTGTGCTTTGAAAAGTCTCTCGGTCTCAAACACTGCTTTTCGACAAATATCGTGCGTTGTTACTCCGTTGGAGAGCTCCAACATTCGGGCTCTGCTACGAACAACCACAATGACAGAGTCGGGCTTTGGTCCGTTCCTTTATAGTGCCCCAACTTCGACTCAAAATACCTGGTCCTAGATTCAAGTTGCATTCAATCTCCTGACGTCCTCATTTCGATTTTCCGTTTGTTGACAATCACAACAATGGTATGGACTCAGCCACAGTGCTCCCCCACTTCTCACACATCGTGGTGCCCGACATGCTGAGGAACAGTTTGCCAAACCTGCAACAAGGAAGGTAACCGAAGATGAACCAGAGAAACTGCGTTCTGCAAGACCAGGTGCTTGTGCAGTGTCTCCATGCTTTCAACCCCTGCTCTCCACCTGCAAGCAAGCATCTTGAAGAAGGCTGGTGGTTTTGCAGAACCTCGACAGTCTGCAATTGAGATGCCTGCATGCTGGCCGGTTTGAGGGAGTTGATAAACGATAGGGTTTCCGAGTTTATGGTAACATGCCTTAGCTCACGAGAGCCTGCATTCTGCAGAATGTGGAATCGCACCATTGTCAAAGAGGAACAAAGAGGAGAAGGAATTGCTGAAGCAGAGTCCGAGCAGTCATCGGCCGTGTCTGATAGCAGGGCCTGCCAGATCTTTAGCAAGTGCAAAATGTATGGTGGCAAAGAATCTGCAAGTGTAGCACCTTATATTTGGCTGTATGGTCCAAAATGGACGATAATAAAAGAAAGAAAAGAAAAAGAAAGGGGATCACGAGAAGCGGGACATGTAGAAGAGAGGACCGAGAGTAAGAGACTATTTCAAAGATGACAGTGATGATATGAAGAAGAACACACACAGAGAGCAGAGGTCGAACAGGGTTGGCGAATGGGAAGGCTTGTAGAGCTCAAACACTTCAACTCTCAGCAACTCCTTTTTTGACTCACACAATGAGAAGTTGACGAAAAGGCTTCAACGGCGGCTGACAAAAAGCTTACACAATCTGCCGAACCAGATTATTCCGAGCTCTGCAATCTCGCACAGCGGAATGCCAGGAGGACATGGCAATCTGGGAACGCCCCGGATCCAGCACGCGTGAACGACAACGGCCTGTCAAATGGTACGACTTACCCCTGCGCATTTTCCATTCTGCAGCAGAATGCCCACATCGCCCTGCCTCAGACTGTATCGGTCTTCGCTGGCCCTAAAGGTGATTGTTGTTTGGCGTCGTCTCTCCATTTTGATGCAACGCTTCCAGGGAGACATTTGCTGTAGCTGTCAGTGTCAGACTCTGGCCCGTGGCTGTTGAGTCTGTCACTGTCAGGGCGTCTGGCGCATGGTGTGTGCCCAGGAACAGGACCACCAACTGCTTGCAAGCTCATGCTGAGCTCATGAGCCTGGCATTCCGATGGCGTTCCGTTCGCTGCCTGTTCAGAGCGGAACCCGATTGGTCGATGATCATCGGAGGGTAGACCCTACGGACCCACAACCTTCAAATTTACACGGGCGCGATCGCCGCGGTCGCGCGAAAATTCACTCTATAACTTTCCGGCGCACCCGGCAGACTGGCGGTTCGTCAACACTAGCGAAATTTGACGTACTCGATACTCGGAGTCGAAGCCTACCGCACGCGATTTTGCCCCGGGTATAGTACTCACCGGTAGTCAGCTCAGACAACTTGCCTTACCCTACTAGTACTGTACTGACTCCCGAGCGCTGTTCATGAGTCACCCGCCTGCCCGGAGCTTCAAGTTTCAATGAGCGCAGTGCGGCGGCCGCCGCGGCGCTGCCAACTGTACGTTGTCACTGTAGACTCCGGCAGTGCTGCCCGGCCGCCGGGGCAGAAGAGCTTCAATTTGGCATGCCGCATGGCTTTTACACGGCCTCCAAATCCTGACTTCTGTGACCTGTCTACTCTTGTCGGAATACAGCATCATCCAATGATTGATGAGGTAATACCGGCGATGCATTCTGCCCGGCTGTCGTAATATATAACAGTGGCACTTAGTATGGAGAAACGTGCCAGCTGTCGATCATCATAGTGGAGCTATTCATCAAATTAAACGTCATCAAAGTATGACTCTAGAGGCTTCAGAGGATATGATATCTTTTGCATCTGCATCCGAGTACAACATCTGAAACTGTGCATCTCCTGTGACATGTGAACGGCCGCATAAGTGCCCCATATAAAGCGGGCGTACAGGGTATACAGGGCGGCCTGCTCTTACTAGCATTGATTGAGCTGTGCTGGCATGCTGTTGGTCACCCAAGGATTGAAGGATCACCCAGCAGCAATCGTTTGCACATGAGCTGGTTCAGTTGGTGCATCATTCAAGCCTAATGAGCCCCAAATCATGAGCGCGAGGCGAACGGCAGCCGCCTGGCACATTGAAAGCCTAACTGTGAGCTCAATCGGAGCTTATAGCAAGCTGACAGGTGCCCGGGAAATTCTGTGACAGGCTTTGTATCATCGAGTCGCTTGGCTTAGAATCGAACAGGTGAACGTATCAACCAGCTGACACCGAAGGACTGTTATCAAGATCTAGATGTGGTTGTTCTTTGAAGCAGATTCGGCCTTAAACCCCGAGAAGACTCAAACCTGAGACTGCTTTAGACGTACAGCAGCCTGAACACAGCACTAGAGGGCAGAGAAAACGTGCCACCTAAGCAAGTTCGAAGGCCTTAATTCTATGGTCGCTTAGTTTTTCGTAGTTTGTATCTGGTTACAGCTTCCTGTCGTGTACGAATCGGCAGCGCTGGTGCGGCGTCTTCGGCTGCCGCTTTCTGTACGAATCAATAAGGGAGGATTATTCAATGACCAACTCGGGACCGATTCAGCGACATCCAAGCGAGCTTCAGCTGCAAAACGGAAAAGTTTCTTCGCATCGTCGACCCGCCAGAGTCTTTTCTGACGGGCGCTAATCGACCCAGCCAATATCAGTTGTTCTGGCAGTGTACTAGCTTCACTCTTGATGCACGTTAGGAAGCTGGCCGACTGCATAAAAGATACTATCAGAGTTGCCTGTGACTCGGACGTCTGGTCTACGAACACTAATCTCGATCAAAGAAGTCTTTCGACCTCAATCATTACACATGTATCTGGACACTAAAACCAAGACCGTCCTTGGAAAGAGTTTGCAGTGCATGTTCGACTTCTATTGACCGTTGCTGTACTAGTACATACCTGCCATGCAACCAGGTTGGCAGCAATTTTTGAGATTTTCTCTTCGTCTTCGGCCTGTCTCGGATGGTTCGCTTGCTTCGCCCTTTTAGGACGCGCACCAACATTCAAGCCCGCCCAGACGCTCGAACCCTGCCGCTGAAAATGCAGAAGTGTGACGATTACTCTGGTTAAGTCTAACGTCGTTCTCGTACAGTTACGCTAACCGAGTATTCTGTCGTCTGAATGGCAGGAACGTCTGCAGGACGCGCCATTCTAGCTCTCTGAAGGAGGACGTCTTGTCAAAGCTTCGACTTTCTGTCGTATTTGACGCGATCCCTTAGGATCAAGCTTGCACTTAACGGATTATCCGTCTATGCAAGGAGGAATCTTATGGCAAAGCCATTCGATCCGTGATCAGTCTCCCCTGGATACTGATT